ACGCAGAAATTTGAATTCCATGTAATTTTAACATGTCATAAAATGTTTTTCCTGTTATTATTTTCCCAACTATTTAAATAAGTAAAACCATTCTTATCTCATGAGCCAAACAAACACAGGTTATAGTTCGGGTTTGGTCCACAGACTGTAGCTTATGGACCCTGAGCTAGAACACTGCAGTTAGTCATATTTTTTGAAGACCTCTGTGTCAGTGCTTAACTCAGACCCCATCACCAGGTTTGCTATGCAAAAAGTTGTGCAAAGGCTTTCTCCTTTCACTGGCTTGCTTTATGTATGTGTGCATGCTTACTCAAGCCATATTTCATGTCAACTTTTTAATGTTTTTTAAAATATGATAAACATGTTTTTGAACATCAGCTACCTTGAAATACATGCTAAACCTAGGGATTCCAGCCCCTAAAATACAAGCACCTGCCATGAACTTGAGATATAAATAGCTCAAAAGTTGTAAATATGTTTATTTAAGATATAATTTGTAAATAACACATGGTGCTTATTTGCTAGGAATGTGAAGGCACTGTTAAGAATAAAGTTTTCTTGACCCAGTAGAATGGAAGGTGTGTCAGAAATGTCCAGGTCCTCAGTTGGCATGAAAGCGTGACCTGCCAAACTAGCCACCAGGCACCAAGCTCCTGCCTCCCTGTGCGCTGAGTGCTGAGCTGGCTGGTGCCCATGACGTGCTGACCATAAGGTGACTCCAACCCTTTGCGCAGACGGGGCAAAGATGACAGCGAAGGCAGAGAGGGAGCTGGCCTGCCTTCCGCCCCTGCCTCTGTTAGTTCACAGAGCCATCTATTATAGCTTATTGAAGGAAAATCAATGTGACCATGTGCAGCCCAGCTCTAAGTGCCTAGTTTTATCAGTCACCTGCACTCTGTGACATCCTTGAACTGTCTTTACTGTAACCCAAGCCTTGCACTCAAATGCAGCATCGAGTTGTGCAGTGCCTGGCAGTTGTCACGTCTGTTAAGAAGGAAGCGTGGACTCAACCCAGCCCCGGAACTGCCACGGAGAATAAAAGACACCAGAGATGGGATGGACATTTTCAGTTATTTACATTAGCAGTTGGTCTGGAACTCAAGCCAGGTTGACCCTTGCTTCCTAACAGAGAAAATTTGTTAATTTATTCATACACTTTCTCTGTGTCTGCTTCTCTCTCTCTCTTCCTCTCTCACAAACGCATTCACATACCTCGTTAGTATAAATACAGAGGACCTAGTTTTATCTGTAAGCAGGACATCTTCTTATATATACATAAGTTTCAGGTATAGGACAGTATAATTCAGCCTCTGTATACACTGCTAAGTGACTGCCCTCAGAAGTCTAGTTACCATTCATCACCACACAGTTGACCCTCCTCACAGTAATTGGAATATTTTAAGGGACCTTTCTCCAGTTTTTGCTGAGATCCTGTTATGAAAATAAGGAAAATCCATCCTCACTGCTTAGCGGTATTGAAACAATCTCTGATGGTCAGGCCGTGAGTCTGAGATGAAAGATATTAATCTAGTTTGATGCGTAACAGGTAAAAATGGCTATCAGGTAAGCATGTAAGGGAAACACAGTGGACCAGTCTCGTCTCGGGTGCGGTTTCCAATGGGGGTCCCTTCAGTCCTTCCGAATTGTCCACTGACCAACAGTGAATATGACGATAAGCATTTTTTACTTTCTCCAAATGGAAGATACAGATGCTTGTATAACAATGCTGAAATACGTGGTCTTATGCACTGAGGGTTTATCTCTCTCCTTTTTTGTGACAATTTAAAATGCTGATTACATTGACTAATATAGCGCGGAAATCAGAAAAGCAATGCCCTTTGATGGTTGATTTTGCAGCACTTTATAGGTTCTAATAAATAATGTTTTAAAACTCTAGCTGAGACCTAAGTAGTTGGGGGTATAGTACATTACTCCCCCTTCGTTGCCACACCAGTGATAAGGCCAGGGAATTATTGTGGAGTAATTTGTAACAGTTCATATCAAGGTGAATAATTCTTTGCACTGGTGGTGTCCCTCCATCCCAGTAGTTGAAGTTACTTTACTTGTTTCACTCATTTTGGAGGGAATTTGGAAGCTAATTTGCACATCTCCATCTCGTACCTTTTCTCTTCAGTAGTTTTATTAAAATTCCTGTTGTGTTTCTACAAGTTCCTAACCCTTTCTGCCCTACATTTCTCTGTGATTCTCCTCTTCAGTATGAAATGGTCTGTGCAAGCCAGAGTTTGTTGTGTGATTATGGAAGTTCAGGTACCTGTGCTGGGTCTGAAAAAGATATTATACACGTCAGTGACGTTTTTTCCTTCAAACCAGCAAAATAATTGCAAGGATTCCAGTAGCGAATTCTGAAATGTATAATCATTGTATAAAGCCAGCTCAATACATATTTGTTGAAAACTTAAGTTTGAGGCCTATACTGTACTTTTGCTTAAGTACATTTATGAGAACATGCTCACATAAGAATGGTGTTTTTTCTCTGTGTGTGTCCTTTATTTTATTTATTTTTTAAAAACAGACACTTAATGTATCCCTTTGGCTGAAATGAGGAGTTGATTGTATAGATTCTCTGAGAGTTGATTACTTAAATATTGAGTATCTGTTTTCTAAATATTTGTTGAAACATGGCAGGTTATTTTAACAAAGATTTGTGACTGTATGGTGGTGCCCTACTTTGCTCTATTTTAGTATTAAGTGGAGGTGACCTTCCTGCGGTCGCCACCATAGCTTGGCATGTCATCCACACTCCCTCTGTCTGCTTTCCTGACTAGCAGCCAGACTCCTCTCTGCTGATCAGTCTATTATTCTGGGAACTCTGTCGGTTGCACTTAAAATATGTAACGGTTCCCTTTCCTGTGTTAAAAAGCCGTAAAGCCTCACGTGAAGCCGCTAAGGGAACATGTGTAACAGGAAGAGGCTTCTGCCTCTGCCGGCACCTTGCGAGGGGACTGTTTTTCTTAAATGATATAAATGAAATCTTCACTCTGCCCACTTTTACACCTACACATGTACTGAGCGTCTCCAAGGAGACAAGCCGGGAGTCCAGTGATGGTGAATTCTCCTTGGAGAGAGCAGGCTGGGGGCTCAGGCTCCAGGGGCCCCTCAAAGACAGCCTCTCCTCGTGGCCCTGCCAGGCAGGCTTCATCTGGCACGCCTCTCCCTTTCCAGGGGAATAGCCTGTAAGTGAGCTCTGAAGGGCGGGTTGTGGTGAGTTGTAGGCAGAGGCTCCTGGGACAGGAGGGTGGGTGTGGTAGGGAGGTGGGACAGGAGGGTTCCATCTTTTCCAAGATCTTTGTCACCCACCTATCATCTGTGCCTCTGTTCCCTGGTCTTCCTCTGTGCCTCTTAGACACAGAGGCACCACTCAGCCTTACCAAATGCCTTAACATCCTCTGTTACAATTCTACAGCTATGAGTTAATTTAGTAAGACTGCCCTTTAAGGAGAAGTACTACTTCTGCTGACTCACCAGTTTCATGTGTCCACTCGTGAACAGTAATCCTCTGGAGCACTGTCTTCCCTCTCTTAAGCCCAGTGCACAGGACCCCGTGCCAGCTCTCCTTCCTCCTGCTCCACCACGTCACTGTAAGCTTTCTTAAAAAGAAAAACGTTATTTTCTGATGTAAGTCCATTATGCACATTTTCTAAGCCTGCAGTTTCAGATCCTTTCATACGATGACCACATACATCTATGTGTGCATCTTCTTGGAGGTGCAAATAATGAGTTACCATTTAGAAATTCTTATTGGAGAAATCGCCAAGGAGTCTCACTTGTCTTTAAACCCTGAGCACATGATTTAATGAACATTCTTGACACGGCTTCCATGTGCACATTCATGGTCGCTGAACTGACTAAAATAAAAAAAAATCACTTCCTATGTGATTCTCTAGCAGAGTCTGCAAACTTCCGTTGTCTGGTCCTGCCCTGCTGCTCTCCTGGGAAGGGTGTGGCTGGCTGTTATTCCTGCTAAATGCTTTGACAGTAATTGTCCCCATGAGGGTTTATCAGGGACACTTTTTTAATTCTTTGTTATTTGAACTTTTTGAAAAGATTGGTCTTAATGAACAGAGAATATAGTCAATAATATTGTGATAACTTTGCACAGTGACAGATGGTGACTAGATGTGCCATGGTGATCACAGTGTAAGATATACAAACGTGGAACCACTTTGCGGTACACCTGAAACTATTATAATATTGTATGTCAATTATACTTCAACTAAAAGCAGAAAAGATTAGTCAGTCATACATTCTGCACTTTGGAGGACTGTCCTGTTTTCCTTTCTTTATCTCCAATTCATACACCTCTGTAGTTGCTGCCTTTAAATAAGCACCCTCCTATGGCCTAAGCTATAAAGAGTCATTTGTAGGAGACATAACCAGTTTTGTTCACAGGTGCATAATGTGCTCTTGAAGTTGACTTAGAGGTCAGATTTGAAAAGTTCTTTCCTTACTACGTGGTCCACCGAGGTCACCGCTGGTATAGCTCATCTGTTTAGCCTTCCTTCCCAAGTAACTCTATCCCTGGTGCACCCCCACTTAACTCTTCCTCTTTTTGGACCCGTGAGGTGAAGGCATTCCTTTCAACTTGAGTTGCCCAGGTCCCGGGAAGGCTGGAGGGGGCGGAGGCGCCTTGTCTTGTGAGTCGCCGTCTTTGCCCAGGTGCTTCCCAGCTGCTCCCTGGCCCTCCCTCACCGTGCTTGCTCGTATTCTGAGTTTTGGTTTTTGGTAGGACTGAGGTGTCTGCTCAAATGGATTGCTATGCCCCAAGACCCGTGTACGAACCTGACTAAACCTAAGAAAACGTAAACAAAGTCCGGAACATTTTCCAGCTGAGACGGGTGGAAAGTTTTGTTTGCTGTTTCATTAGCCTGGAATTGGGAGAGTCAGGATCCGTTCCTAAGTGCGCTTCCTGGAGTCCTGTTGCGAAAGTGGCTCTGAACCTGTGTAGTAACGGAAAGGTTTTTCTCCCATTTTCCTTGCAGGCTCTTCAAGTGGCAAGACAGCTCCTTCTTCAGCAGCAACAGCAGCAGCAAGTTAGTGGCTTAAAATCTCCCAAGAGGAATGACAAACAACCCTCCCTTCAGGTAACAGCTCTTTCTTAACATACCTGGGTATGCGCCCTGACTGGAAATTGAACCCCAACTTTCTGTGTACAGGATGACCAACTGAACCACATGGGCCAGGGCCAGGTAACCATTCTTTTAAAAATAAATGATGTTATACACTTGCGACAGCTAATAACAAGTGAGTTGTGGTGAGACTCTCAGTCGTTAGAGGGCCTTCTGCAGAGGTGTCATTAGCTGACCAGCAGTGTGACGTTTCAGGATAATGTCTGTTCAACCCAAAGCTGGTGTTGTTGGGAGTGACCTCTGCTATTCGTCCAGACCCTAGGAGGGTGAGCAGTCGTGGGCGCGGGGTGCTCCCTTGTGCCGCTTACCGCTGGGAGAGCTCAGGGAGCTCAGACACGTCACCACGCTGTCCACGGGTGCAGACGGTCCCCCGGGCGGACAGAATGCCTCACTGCAGTGCAGTGGGGGAGGTTTTTCCCCAGGGGACAGTGGGCAATGTCTGGAGACATTTTTAGTTTTCACAACTTGCGGGGGGCGGGGGGCATTGGTGCTACTGACAGTCTAGTAAGGAGAGGCAAGGGGTGCTGCTAGGCATCCTACGTTGCCCAGAAAAGCCCCCCACAGCACAGGACACCACGTGTCAAGAACTGTCCCTGGGCGGAGGATGATGTGGAGTTTAATGCTCCGGCGTGAGTGCGATATGCACTCTCCTCGAGGGGATGTTTTCAGCGTACTTCTGCATTATTAATAAAAAGTGACGAGCAATGTTTACATAAAGATACCAAGAAATATCGTTTTAGTAACTTCTTCTTTTGGGCACAGTATGGATGGGGATTCACAGAGAAGGACTGAGCTTATACAAATTTAATTTTGGTTTCCTGTTGGAGTAGAACATTTTAATAGAAACTTCAAAGAACTATGACTCAGGGTGTTCCTACATCCAAGAGAGCGCACCTGCAGGTACCCGGTGGCCTAGCTGCTTTCATAGCTGAGGGCGTCATCCCAAATGGGAGGCTAATGGGGTCCCACACTGGACATTTTGGGATAGAATCTATAAACTGCTACTGATGGGCAGAACTTGATGCTAATTAATTTGATCACGAGGTTAACGCAAATTCTAGACGGTGTCGCCTTTTCTCAGATCACAGTAAACCAGTAGGTGCTCCGCATTGTCTGGCAGTGATCACGCTGACCTTGGGCGACAGGTTCTTCTACATGCACTTGGGAAGCGTCACCCATGGCGCCGAGGGAGGTGCAGCACTGTGGTAGCCCTTCCCTGGAACAGGTGGATACGCGTTGTTGACTAACACTTCCCGACACACTTACTTGGTAGACCATCGTGAGCCCACGTGCTTTTTAATGTTTGAGAATGCGGGGCGTTTTTAATGAGGTACAGCGCCAGTGAGGCCCCGTCAGGTGCTCCGCGAAGTGCTTTGTGATGCAGATGCCTTAAGAACAGCTCTGGGGGACGGAATGTGGCTGTGTTGACCTTTCAGCTGTGAGCTTATTTGTCAGGATTCAAGTAAGTTGAAAGGATCAAACCGAACAGTTTCCGTCGTCAGACTGGGAGTTGTGTTTCAGAGGTCAGCAGCAGGGGCCACGTCGCAGGGGCCAGAACAGAGCCCCTTGTTGGTACATATTAAAGTACTGGGACATCTCCTGCAGACAGAGATACAATTAAAATTCTAATTTATTAATGTATACAGGGAGCTAGCCCAGCCTGTCAGTCAGTGATTCCAAGGACTGTCCCCTCTCTTTGCCTTCCTCTGGGAGCTTTCACAGCCTTACCAGGATGGGAGGCCTCTTGGATTTATCAGACCTCAGGTGTATTGGAAAAATGACGGTATATTGTTGGGGGTGGAAATCTTACAGATAGTAGAGCTTGTGTGGTTAGAGGTTTAAAAAAACCATGCACACGTGTGCAGTCTGTCTGATGCACTGTTCTTCAGTGTTGAATATCATTTGTCACTTTTTATACTAGACTTATTTTCCCTCATACTTGCTTTTTTTTAAAAAATAACAACACATGTGACATTTTTTAGGTAACTTCTTTTCCAACATGAATGAAGTTCCTTTTAGGGCTAAATATATGCAGTAAAGTTTCAGGGGCTTTCCTTTGCAGGCTCTTTTCTTCTTGCCTGTTCTAATGTTTTAGCTACCAGAGGAGGATGATAGAGCTTCATTTTTCTTGGCAAGGACAGTGTCAAAACCAACCTAACACATTTTGCTGAGCACTTCAGTCTGTCTAAGAAGTGTGGGGCGAGGGGCCATCTTGAATGCTGGCTTTGCTAATGAAGATGTTTTACGTCCCCCCTACTCCCTCAGTGGGAGACTTGACAAGCAGAGAATTTAGATCAGCTTTAGGAATTGATTGGGGAAAAAAGAGTTGGTTAACTGGTGTGTGAGTGTGCGTGTGTGCGTGTGCGTGTGCGTGCATGCATCCTCAGCTACCTGGTGTGGCCATGCAAATTCACGAAGCTTTATTAGGTTGGCTGGCCTTCCACAGACAGAGCAGAAATGACTAACCTGGGTCACGTGGAGGTTATATAGTTATGAAAATGTCTAGGCTCGGGGATTCACAGAAGGAATAACCTGCGCATATAAATATACCTGCCACTCCATCACCGGGCGGCTCAGCCAGGAGGGCTCTGAACCGACCGGGAAGTCCTACAGTGAATCCCGGCAGCGTTCATGTCTGACCTCCATACCCTTCCTAGCTAGAGAGACCTATTTTAGCAAATTTCAGACCTTCTGCATGGAGGCAGGCTTCACATGGAAGAAGAATTTGATCTGCTGATAGCTTGAGGAAAAAGAAAGCAACCCAAATCCCCAAATACACTGTGACTCATATTTTAAGCATATCTCACACGTTCCTGCTTTATGTTTGGCAGCGCTCCCCAGATTCACAGGCTGGTGATACAAACAAAAGAAAATGGAAAGTTAGAGGAGGCTCTGTGTGGTTACTCGACAGCGAGCACAAAATGTGTCAAACGTCACCAGTTTGAACTAATTTCAGGGCGATCGGAGTAGAAAGAGAGGAATAACGGTCTTTGCAGATATACAGACTGAACAGAATCTGAGCTGGCCACAGTTTTGGGTGACATCGTGGTTTATATAAAGGATTGATTGAGTATAGATACTGCTTCTGAAGTTCTTTAAAAATACTCTACTTACCTAAATAGCCCCTTATTTTAGTATTTAAGTTGCTTTGCCAATTTTTATGAATGATACAAATGAAAACTGGCCTCAGCATAAATTCAGAATCAGAATGATCTGAGTAACATGCGGGCATTTCTGGAACAGCTGCAGCGTGGGAGACAACTTACTGATGCCCGCAGATATGAGCCTGTGGGAGACACAGAGCCTGCCTTCAGAATGCTTGTGAGTTGTAAAGAATTAACAGGTTTTGCTGCAAAAAGAAAATTATATGTAAGTAAAAATAGTAGGCTTACTTTGATAAATATATACATACTTCTGAAGATTGCTTGAACAAGTGAAACACATGCTTAACGGTGCAACTGGGCTCATAACCTCAAAAACGAGGAACTTTACTGGCTGAAGATTAATGTGTGAGTAGATGAGCAATTTTATTGATCGAATTTTGGAACTTCAACCACCGTTTCTGGGTAGTAATTCATTTTGGTTCTTTAAGTATTTAGTTGTTGGCATGAGTACGTAAACTGGAAGGAAGTCAGGTGACACATTTTCCCTAAGAACGGAAAAGCACATGTGTATTCTGGCAGCACTGAAGTTAGGAGAGAAAGTCAGCCTTGTGCAGTGCGTACAGTGGGAAGCTGACCATAGTTTCAGGCCATCGATAAGGAGTTTGAATTTAAAACCAGTCATCTGATAGATTTCCTCCTGCCTGTCCCCTTCCTTCCAAGGTTATATCGTGTACAAGCCCCTCACGCAGGAGACCCTCTCACTGGAACAAAGGATCCTGAGAGCCACTGGAAGGTTAGCCTTTCAGTCCGACTGGAAGCTCAGGATTATCATGAGGACTCCTGCTCTAAGTGGAAGAGTTTCAAATACCAGATTCAGCAGGTGTTTTTTAGCATTTTTATTTGCAATTATATAAAACATGCTTTAGGCAGCATTTTTGCTTTGCATTAATGCCATATAGAATTTTAGGGCCTCACATCATTTCCATGCTATTCAGTGAGAAATACATTGGTAAGAGGAAGCCTTTAAAGGAAACCACAATTTCATGTTGTAGATAGTGAAATCATTAGTTTTGAAATACTGACCCTTAAAAAATATCCCTATGCACTGAATTAGTAAAGTGGATAATTCAGGACAGGAAGGCAAATAATTTTTAAAATGTCTAGAGTTAACATTGTCTAGAAATGGCATCCCTGGCATTAAATTGATATGAAGTGTTGAAATTTCAGTACCTTTGAAGATTTTGTTATCACTTGACTTTGGAGAATCCCAAAACTCTAAAAAAAATAAGTCTTGATAGGAGACAATAATGTAGAAATGATACTTTGGAAGTGGTCGTTAACTCTTTCGGGTCACACGGCCAGCAAGACTGTGATGGGCACAGTGGCTGCTCCTCCCAGAGAGGTACCCGCGCAGAGCTGTGTCTGGTTCGGAGGTTTCATGGGCCCAAGAAGTCCATCATGTTGCCCGGGTTAAACACTCTTGCTTTAAGAATATTTTTTCTAAATTAATATGTTGTGTCCTTGTCTCCCTCCAAAAGCCTGCGTTTCCTTGTAACATAGCGAGTTAGATCATTCTTCCTTTCCAGGCGCAGCTCCGCGCAGGGTGACCTGTGTCCTAGTCTGCCCAGGACAGCCCCGCCTGTTGGCTGGGTGTGTTTTTAATAATTCTCATCCTCAAAAGCATGCCAGTTTGGACATTTAATTTTATGACCACCTTACTTATATGTATCCAAGTATTAAAATGCAAGTGTGATGCTAGTATTTTATATGTAAGCATGTATTTGTCACCATATGCAGAGGCGACTAATGTTTAGTAAGTGCTTAACGTGGACCAGCCCGCTGGCTACTCTG